GTTGAATTAAAAACTATTAGAGAAAGATACAGAAATAAATTAAATTTCAATAATCTTAGAAGAATTGGTCTTCTACACAAATCCAGGTGTCTATCTGAAAATACAATCATAAATTTAATTGAAGTTTTATCAATTTGGTCTAAATTTACAACTGGAACCAGGTCAAGCAAAAGTGGGATTGATAGAAATAAAAGAATTGCAGTCATTTACAAAATTGTATAGACTTGAAGCTACAAATGACAGAAAATTAAGCATCAGTTGGTAAATTAACTAAATACTTAACACAAAGAAATGTTGATGTCTAAGAGTTGCAATATAAATTAAAACATGAGGAAAATAGAATAAGCAAGCATCACGAGTTACTGACCATTATGCGCAATAATTCAAAAGTGGTACATGTCCAGATACATGATTTAATGAAACAATTAGATTATAAAAAAAGTATTAGTAAATCAATAGAAACTGAAAAAGTAAATAAAATTCAACTGATTAAATTTGTATTTGAAGCCAGAATTCATCATTTCAATTAATTATATGTATTAATTATATTAATACAATTATATGCGAACTGCGAGGCAAAAGATGCTAAAAATGCCGAAGTATTTTTATTTGCTTTTGTCATAAATATAAAACTTGATTGTAGGATAGATTTCGAGAATTTTATTTAACTTAATTAACCTTCGATCCAACTTCAAAACATGACTAAACATTTACATGAAACGAGAAATATTCTGCTTAATTGCAGAAGAAGAATAGTATTCAAGAACTCAAAATTTCTCAATTAAAAAGCGATAAATCGTGAACTTGATCTACAATTGAAAGAAAGTAAAGTAGAAATGGCAGAAGATCATCTTGGAAACTGGAATAATAAAATACAAAGATACGTTAAATAAGACATTGTCGAACTAATCGCTCATCAAAATCATAAGAAAAAATTTGACATGTGTCTCAGTTAAAAGATAAAATCAGTTAATTGGAACTAGTGTGTTATATGCAATACAATAAAATACAATGCATCTTTTTTAGGATTTATGCAAGAAAGCAAGAGAAATAAAGTATATACATGTAAATAGAGTGTCCAAGAAGTCTGTCTGAGATCACTTTCTAATTCTTTCTTAGCTTTGATTTCACGTGCTTTAGCTTCACAAGCTTCTAATAATTGTTTTGAATGAGGTTTCTCACAGATTAATATCTCTCAATTATTGTTACAGCATAGTTATGTTGTAGAATGTATAAAGATACATTTCTATGCAAATGTCAGAATAGAGGAACTTTTTAATAAAATTGAAATCTTTGAGCAAAGACATAATAATATAAATGGTTAGACCAAGTTGCTTGAAGAAGGTAGAGCCTGGCGAGAAGCAGCCAAAAAATATGTTCCTTTCATATAAATTAATTTTGTTAAGAAATTCTACTTTTGGAAGAATATAATTTGTTTTTGTTACTCTAAAGAGACCAGAAAGCTTCTTGAATATAGTGCGCGTCTAAAAAGGATCACGAAGAGATTAGTGAAATTTTTTGCTTATGATTTTGATATCCGATTTTGATAGTCAAGCTAATCCGCCATCAAAATCAGAACAAAAAAATTGGCACGTGTCTCAGTTGAAAGATCAAATGGTCTGTTCAATAATCTTTAAATTGATTTCTCTTGATGGAAGTACATGAAATTATGTGCAATATAATAAAATATAATATATGCTTATTCAACAAAAAGTCATTGAAAAAGTAAGATCAGAAGAGAAATATATGTCAATTAAGTGCAACAAGTTTAAGTGGCTACTCTCAAGAGCATTTTCTGTGCCCTTATGTGCGAAAAGGGTTCTGATGGTGCTCTTGGAGTAGGTTTTCACGATTTTGTTTAGCCATTGGTTGGTACCTCTTGATTATGGTAGTCTCTGGTAATTCTGGATAGTTCTTCTCCTTGGGGATTATCATCACGTTTTCAGGTTTAGAAGTTAATTATTGGTTGTTCTTTTTGCTATTGATAACTAGTTTGGGTTTTGCTTGAGTAATGGTCCTGTAAACACTGCAGTTTGTGCAAGTTAGGATGTAATTGACTCCTTTATTGAGGATCATTCTTCCACACGCTACGTGAAATGTGGGATGGTTGCCTTTGTAATGTCGTTGTTACAGGTCCTTTTGCTGAGTAGGCCACATAATCTTTGGAGCCACTGTGCTCAAAAAGGTGAGCAGTACCGTTTCAGATAGTTGCCATGTGATCTCCATGGTCGAAGGATCAAAATTACATTTGCTAAACCTTTTTGCATATATAATTGTTGCGGTCAAGTGGCCAGGATTTATGGCAGGGGCCATGTGTTTGGGTACCCCGACGGTATGGGTCTGTCTTTGGCCGTTCCCGGGCACAAGCGGCCCCGACATAACGACTCCTGGTCCTTGATTACGGTCCAGTCAATTACGGTTGGGTCTGGCACTGTTTGGGCACGTAGGCCCATCAGCTCGGGATGTTTAGCAGGTGTTAGTTTGCCATTCTCCCTGCTAACTCTCGGCCCACCGTTTTGGGGCCGTCTCACTGTTTTTGGGACTGCAGTGATTGGACCGTAATTCCTTGCCGCCCACCCTATGTTGAGAAGAGTAGGGAGGACCGAGGTATATTAGGGATGACTCCGGTCCTCTAGTCAGAGAGACATCGTCAGAGACACGGTTTGGGATACAAGAGACATTCGGGAGATACGCGAGACTCACGAGAGACCACAAGGGACTCAAGAGACATCGTGAGAGATACGTGAGACCATAAGGGACTCACGAGATACATAAGAGACTTAGTAATCGGACGGCACACCACGTGCAAAATTCTACAGAGCTCGAAGCTCACAAGGAGCACCAACGAGCATTAACAATAATCTTGCAGAGACATTCAGCTTCATGTATAATATCTTCGAGGCTGATGCCTAGTGAAAAGCCGTTTATGATCCCTTTTTTCTACTTTTTGCCTAGAGACAAAGGCATCTACACCTGTCTGTGTTAAAATTGATAAGTCCAATACCTTATTGGGCTTTATTCTATTGTTGAAGTAGACTTCCGCCTGGAGACTTTCAGTCTCCACTTTTTAGGCCAATGATAACCTTAGTAATATGCATCATTGTATGCTCTACTTTTCCTGCAGAAATCCCTCCTGATTGATACAATTACAGTAGCTGTTCCATTGCATTTCTTCTAATGTATGAGATCTCACTCCTCCATTTTGTTGCTATTGCTGGCTTCAGACAATNCATAAGAGACTTAGTAATCGGACGGCACACCACGTGCAAAATTCTACAGAGCTCGAAGCTCACAAGGAGCACCAACGAGCATTAACAATAATCTTGCAGAGACATTCAGCTTCATGTATAATATCTTCGAGGCTGATGCCTAGTGAAAAGCCGTTTATGATCCCTTTTTTCTACTTTTTGCCTAGAGACAAAGGCATCTACACCTGTCTGTGTTAAAATTGATAAGTCCAATACCTTATTGGGCTTTATTCTATTGTTGAAGTAGACTTCCGCCTGGAGACTTTCAGTCTCCACTTTTTAGGCCAATGATAACCTTAGTAATATGCATCATTGTATGCTCTACTTTTCCTGCAGAAATCCCTCCTGATTGATACAATTACAGTAGCTGTTCCATTGCATTTCTTCTAATGTATGAGATCTCACTCCTCCATTTTGTTGCTATTGCTGGCTTCAGACAATAAACATCGTTTAGACAAGTCTGGCGAACTCAATGGTGAATTGGAGGCTCCCTTTTACTTTAGACTGACTATTTTCCATTCCATCTCGTTACCCATTTTGAATGTGGATTTCCGAACGTGAGGGTTTAGGAGTTAGTGTCAGTTAGTGTATATGGCCAACAACACACCCTAAAACTATTGTTTCCGTATTTTTAGGAAGACTTTTAAGTTTACATATTTGGATTGTTTCAAATTTGTTAGTAACAGATCAGGATCACATCATGCTGTTCATATCTTAGAGCTCCAAGGTTCATACATATATTGTTACATGTGCACAAATTTCACATATTATTTTTCCTTTGATTTTACATAACGTGATATTCGTATGTTTCTACCTTTAATGTTTTTTTCACAGTCATGTGCAATGAGACGTGACAGACTTTGTTTTATGTTGCATACGCAGATTTCCACAATGTATACATATACATGAAATTCACTAAATTCGCTCAACATTGGAGTTTTGAACTGGAGTCTTTGATGTTGTGAATTTTATTTTTCAATAATTTTGGCAAACAGTTTGATCGTTTTGTCACTACGTATATTGGTGTTATTTGAATAATACAAAGTTATTCAATGAAAGAAAATGTTAAAATATAGATATTTCTTCATTTCTTATAACACTTACCTTTCTTTCATTTTTTTAACACTTAGCCAACCGAATAGGGAGATCTTCCCGTTTCAAATTAAGTCACTTGATGACTGAATGAAGAAATCTTCCACTTTTACCTTAGCAACGCGTGGTCCTCATCCTGCTTACTTTTTTTTGTTGTCATCGATTAGTCTGGACCTGAAATTTTTCTCAATTCATGGAATACTTTTTCTTCCTTTATAAAACGAAATTTTAATTAAACTCTTTCAAAGTTACTAAAACTACAAAAAATAGTTGTACCACGCTTTTAATTTCCTGGTTTTTATAAACAGCATGTAATACAAAATCCTTACCACCAAATATTATTGACCATAAAAATAATTTAAAGATGATTTTTGTCTTTGAAATGATTGAAATGGTTGCAAACCCTTGAACAAACTTTGAAAGAATAATAAAACATTTTGACTCATTACAATTTTGGTTTTAAACTTTTATTCTACTGTACAATGTTGTATCTTGTTTTGCCATTTGTATATACAATTCTGTTATATGACGGTCGTTTTGTAAAAGATTCGATACGGTACATCAAGCTTTGTAATTTCTCACTTATATACAAATTACGTAGAGTAACGGTTTCTTAATGAGGAACGATTGAACATAGATGATGATCAGATATTTATGTTTTGAAAACTAATCAGAATCTATAAATAAACTTATCTCCAATTGAGTATTATAAGTCAGTGCACGTGAATGTTTTGTAAAAATATTCAATTGTTATAGTTTTCTTTCATGCTCTTATATCAATCTTTTTTAGTAATTATTATTCAATTTCAAAAAGAAACAAGTTAATGTTTTTTTGGTGTCAGAAACTTATTAATGGTATCTAGTATTTATCATTCCACAAAAAAGTACCCCTTTTATTATGGAAACATACGGAAAAATAGTAGTAATTATTTCACTTTGTTGAATAAAAATAAAAAACGAAATGATTAGAAAACATGTCAACACGTTGCACGCGTGTAAAACAAAACAGTTAAATGCAGTGCATAACGTGCATGACTTTTCGGTCTAGAACGATCACAGATCACAGTACACATTTTACGATCAAATAAAATAACATTTTCCGCATTGTTTTCTTTCAATCGCAAAGACAGTAGCCATTAAAACAATTAAACATACATTCACACTTAAAATTCAGAAAGAAGGAACTCAACCAGATCATTGTATGAGTATTATTACTTTTGCTATTATTACGTAGCAGCGCAATTCTTCAACAATTGCATTTTTATTGTAAACCTAACGCTTATGGAACAGTTAATAGTAAACCAAGCAAATCTACGCTCCTTTCCCTTTTCTCATTTTTTTTCTTCATATGTTAACACATTGCTTTCTATTTACGAGTTTTCGAGGGAATTTAGTTTACTTGGAATATAAAACACATGTGTAGAAGTTAGTAAAATGTAGTTTAGCATATGGGAGCATATGTGCACCATTTCTACGAATAATAAAACGTATGCATGATACATTATATCGAAAGAAGAAACTGGAAAACACTTCTACTTGCAAAGCAATGTGTTAACAGAAATTAAGACTTAAGGTTTACGTTCACAAATTCATGCGACTTTTGAAGGAGTATTTGTTAGCAACATGAGTATAATAAATATACACATTGGCCTTGTACGAATGCAAATAAAAATATAAGTGTAACATTGTAGATATCTAATATAATTATCTTACTGAATGTAAATATAAAAGAGCAAACAAATGCCTTTCACTGTTAAGACGTTAACTATTTCATTTTTCAAAAAAAATATGAAAAATGACAAGGTGGAAGATGAAACTAAATATTACATTCGTACATAGCCATACAAGGGACGAGCAATAACAAAAGGGTTAATAATGACAGAATGATTTCTACCTACGAGATGAGTTATTGAACGTGAAATGTCAGCTGTAAAACTGTACTCTGATAACTATTCCAGACAATCCAAGTATCTTAAAACTTTAAAGGACATTTGGGACCAGTACCATGTACCCTGCACGTTAAAAACGAACGACCGCGCTTCAGAAGTTGTAATAAATGATTAACGTTATTTGGTCCATTTTTGTAAAACACATTCAAATGTTTCTTGCGATACAATATCATCGTTTTTTGGTTTCTTTTGTAACGAACTATAAAACACCGGTCGGTCATCCAATCTCGCGAAGAAAAGAAGTATTAAATGCGGGAAATGACTGAATTGAAGAGAGACTACGAGAACCGGTTACTATACGCTGATTCTAGTTACACTTACAACTTAAAAGACATTAAATAGTTTTCGACTAATAAAAATAAAAATCTCCAGACTATTTACATACAATTTTGTTAAAAGGAGTATCACGCAACATTTTAAGCATTTGTTCATACATGTGGGTAAACAACGTATTGAAATTCGGGAACGTTATCATAATGCATGAAAGAGATTCGAGAGTAACGCAATTCTTCACTAATCTATTTTTTGGAAGAAAACCCTATTTTTCTTTGCATCGTTCGAAGTCAAATAATCAACGATAATTCGCGTTAAAACCATTTGTTTTCTCCATTCATCTTTACGATCATTGCTGTATACGTTGTTTGCGCTTTCCTTAAGTGTCTGCTTACTAAAAGACTGTAAAAAAAAATCTAAGGACTTAATAATAAGGACGATATTAATAATACTAATATTAGTAACTAATAGGATCACATCTTTGGTACACGATTCGTCGGTTTCAACTCTATTTGCTTCACATGAATACCTACGGCAAGATGGGCCGAATTAAATTCATCTTTACGTTGTATTTTCATCCTAATAGTCATCATTCCTTTTTTGAAATAAAGCAAGTTCTATGATTCATTATCTATTCATTTTCATTGTCACTCACGTATTAATTTTTTGTCAAATGATTTGTCATCTAAAAACGACTATTTTACAGTTCTGCAACAGTCTTCATTTGTGTTATTAAATTCCTCTTTAGTTCCTTAATAATAGGTTTAGAAACTTTCCCATTTCTCCGATATAACTCTCATTCTTTCTTCGTTTTTTATTATTTAGAATTTGTAAAATTGTGCTGCTTAGAAGAAACACATCCTGCAAAAAAAAACAGATCATTTCTAAAGATTCGATCACTTGAATTATCATAATTAATTAAATAAACCTTACCCTAATCAAACGGAATGTCTTCTTGCGAGTTAACATATACTAGAAATTCCGTGAGTCAGACTCTTCTCAAGGACAATATGGAACTCGCATAATGGTTCAAGAATATGAATGAGGAAATTTAATAACGTACGATTCCGCAAAAATGAATTCTCTTCGTACATGTCTGCGGTAGAACGAGCTTCACTCATTGGCCGCAACATCACATGAAGAAGCTGCTCCCTATTACACAAATTAATATTTAGTAACATTTATCTGTACTTAATAAGTACTCGAAACAAGATCGCAATTTACCTGGCTGCCAAACAGATGAACAGCTGAAACTTTCCATCTTTACCCAGGGTCTGACTAAACATATTAATCTGATCGATGAGGTGACAATAACATCTTAACGTTGCAAACCTTTGATTACTCTCTACATGCGCGGCTCGCCTATCCCTATTCAATCGTTGTGAATATTCGTCCATCTCCTCCAGCAGTGAAATTTCAAAATTTTCTTTTATGCGCACTAAGAAAAAAAAATACATTAATAAATAAGTACAATCTATGTATTACACTGTCCGACAAAATCAAACTTTTTTTCTGATTTCCTATAGCTACTATGAAATTGTTGTAGAGCTTCACTTCTCAAACAAGAATCCTAAACCCGAATTGCCCCATCACCCACAGTTTTCGAAAAAAACGAGCTTTTGTAAAAACTCAAAACTTTTTGACAAAAATGAAGTATTGCATGAAAAGTAAAAACGTTAGAAAGTTCTAATCGGTCACAAAAGATAGAGGAAAGTTTTCCGAATATAATGGTATACAATTTATTAATTGTTTTCGGTCCTAAATAATTATAAATGAATGTCGAAGTTTAAAAAAGTGTCGACGTGCGCAGTTTCTCCGCAGTATTTTTATATTTTTACGAAAAGTTTTTCGTACAGTACGAAAACTCGACCCAGAATCGAATTCTATAGACATTTCTAAAGAAGAAACGGTCTGGTAGAAGTATCGGTAGAAGTATTGAATATTTTATTACTAGTTTCATACCTCTATTGTTTAACAACATGTATCAAGAAGTTTTACATTTTAAAAATTATTATTTATTTATGATCGATGTCATTTTATATCTGTATTTCACACGATTTTATGATTTGTTTATAGTATGTATTTTTTTGTTGCAACTTGTATGACTGTCTCTTATACACATCTAGATGTGTATAAGAGACAGTTGTTTATAGTATGTATTTTTTTGTTGCAACTTGTATGACCGAATCCACTTTATGGGGATGTATAAATATAATTTATATTAATTTGTTAACACATCTGAAGAAATTTGTAAAATTAGAATGCATTGTTGGCCCCTTTCGTTACCCACTGTAAATACTCTGGTGTGACTTTTCGTCGCGAAATACATCAGAGCTTGGTTATTAGTATCTACAGAAATACATGAATATAGAATATACCTAATAATTTTTAAAGTCTTAAACTTCTTGATAGATGTTGTTAAACAATAGAGGTATGAAACTAGTAATAAAATATTCAAATATTATTTACACAAAGTGGGTGCCCCATTGGATCCCTCAATCGGTGTAGATTACCCATAGCTTCGGCCCTGTTGCGCCGAGAGAAACGAGCAACGGAGCATATGGCGGCAAAACGTTGTGCACGCGTTGCCGATGAATATTTTCTCGGCTTGCTAGAAATATAAATCGTTGCGATACTTATATCAGGCCGTTTCTTCTTTACAAATGTCTACAGAATTCGATTCTGGGTCGAGTTTTCGTACTGGACAAAAAACTTTTCGTAAAAATACAAAAATATTGAGAAGAAACTGCGCATGTCAACACTTTTTTAAATCTCCACATTAATTTATAGTTATTTAGCACAAAAAACAATTAATAAATTGTATGCCACTATATTCGGTAAACTCTCCTCTACCTTTTAGTACCGATTAGAACTTTCTAATGTTTGTACTTTTCATGCAATACCTCATTTTTGTCGAAAATTTTGGGTTTTTACAAAAGCTCGTTTTTTTTCAAGAACTGAGGATGATGGAGCAATTCGGTTTTCAGATTCTTGTTCGGGGAGTGAAGCTCCACAAGAATTTCATAGTGGCTATAGGAAATAAAAAATCGTGTCGGACAGTGTTATTTTACTATAGTCTGCACCAACAAGATACACAACTTACAAAGGTAGTCCCAAACGTAAAAGTTTCTACCGAATATCCTCTGGTTTTTAAAGCCAAATAAAAATATTTGTTCTAGCGATGGGACAAGACCGCCTTCACCACAGAGCAAGGCTGTCAAGGATCCTTCTTGGCAATCTCTCCTGTAGTGGAATTTAACGATTGCATTCACAGCTTCTCCTATGAAGAAAAGAAACATCGTATAATTATGTGACAATGCAACAGAAACTGAAAGAAAGAAATCTCTATTTATCTGTCATTTATTGATACAGAGAGTTGTGTTGCATGAAAATCCGCAGTCTACAACTTATAGGTCTGTAGATGTAAGTTGGTAATCGCTTACCTAGCATATGCTGCAACTCAACTTGAGATAATATTGGGCGCCTGGGAATACTAGGTGACCTACATCTCGGCGGTGTTGAACATGATTCAACTAATTCCTCGCTATCGATACTGTGAGGTACCAAAGCCCCTACTAACAATCTCTCGGTGGAACCATCGTCGATGCCTCTGCCAAGCCACCTACCGCAAGGAAATTTGAACGTATGTCCTGTGACCTCGTTTCTCACCACAACATGCTCTACCATCCATTTAGGGGAAAGGCCTGTGTTGTCGTGTCCTATGCGTAGCGTTGAGAGCACACCCAAATTTTTATGCTGGAACAAGAATTCCACAACAGAACAATGAATACATTTACGTTAACAAATTCAGATAAGCTAGTAAACACATCAGAGCAGTAGTAATACGAATTTCCCTTTATACGTCTGGAAGTAGAAATGCAGAAACAATGTATTCACAGCCATTAGTTTTCTATATATGTATCATTTTATAACTTACACAGTGTCCAAAATTAGACAGACACTATGAATGAAAATTCGTTTTACTTATACAATGACCTGATGTATCTGAGAAGAAGAGGACACATACATGAAATACAAATTCTAGTGCTCCTTTAGGTATAGGAACCGGATTCGTTTCGCATAGACTTCCTGAGATAGCGATCCAGCTGTTTGCGGAAGTGGTAGCTGCACTTGCTTTACGACTAGGAAATATAACAACCCTATATGGCAATTTAGTTGTTGGATAGTTATTAGTGAAGCAAAAATAGTCGACTGCATTTAGCGTCAAGAGATGATACAAGAATTGTTCTTTCTCCTCTTCGCAACGCAGGAACGCTGAACGTTTATATTGATTTCTGAAAGGTAATAATATGGAATGTTTATATCGCGGCATTTTAAATAAATTTGTATAAGATATCTTGAATACGCGTATAAGCTACCTTAACAATGTATTGTTGGATAATAATGTCTTCAAATGACGAGAGAGAAGTTTCTTTTCCAACGCTAACCGAACCCACGCTCTAGCGTATCCAATGTGCGTCTTGATGTCTGTCATGGCTTGGACATTTCTGATATCAAAGAGCAAAGAGTCTGGTAGAGGTCTCAGATGCTCTGGACCAATCTTTCTGTCTCCAGGGGATTTGTGTTTGTCTGCCCCGCGCGTTGGCGAGACGTCCGTTTCCAATGCCAAATTCGACAAATCTATTATCGTTCAACAATAGAAAAAATAAGTTAGAGCATGGTAGACCAAGGACGTGGAAAATTATTATTTTCTTCACATCGCTTGAAAACTATTTTCGTCAATCCATGCAAACGATGTTCATGCTTCGGACAAACACAAGAAAATGCATTTTCTTATTTCCATATCTGCAGTCGCATGCTGATTGCACTGTCCCACAAACTCGAAAAGCGAGTAATAAAAGAAAATTCATATTTAGAATTTTTGTGTTTAATGCATACAAATTTATAAAAATCATACATTGAAATACAAATGTCTTGGACAGTGTTTACAAACATTCCTACGCTGCTTCCACTAACATGGATCATAACTTAAAAAATGGGACAAGTACCAGAATTAATATGCATAATTTGTGATATTTGAATATTGATAAAACCAATGCGTCCATGCAGCTTACTGACAATTATAAGAATCATATTAAAGGCATCATAAAAGTAATATTAAATGTCAGGCAGAGTGAATGATGTCCCTTCTAGCAAGCCGACACTAGGGCTTACCATTGAAGTTCTCCTTGACATAAGAAGCAATCTCAAAAATATTTCTGCTCTTAAATGATGAAATTAAACGGTCCGGTAATCCGAAAAACTTATTCGAAGGTTTCTTGGCTATTTACAACAGGAAATGAAACAAATAAGAATTAACTGAAAAGAAACGTTGTTCTATGCTTAATGCAGTGATGGAATATGAAAGCTTCATTTTAGTAATAAAATAAACTTCCAAATTACAAAATACCTTATATTTACACCACTGTAAACAGAGAACGAAGTAATATAAGATACAAGGCAAATTATAATGGGAAGATAACATATAAAAATTAACGGTACAAAATAATTAAATCGAAGTTTGACGAAATCATTTCTAATCAAATAAATAAACCTTTGTGTAACATATTTCAGCCAATGTAAATGCATATTGTGCAGTTTTAGCAGAAAACATATATAGAGAGTGATAAATTGTTTATCAATAATGGATCACTTACAACTAATACAGTGCAGAGTATCTACGTATGAGAAACTAATCTCTACTTCTAACACTTTATTTGAAATAAAATAAGGCACGTACAATCGAGTCGTTTCCGTAGCACGCACCACGCTAGCGCTGAATTACCAAATGTGATAAAATATTAAAATATTAGGTTTCGTGATTTCGGAGATGAAGCACAATTATATATATATATGTATAACATGTATAAGGGTCCACAGGTGTGTATAAACTTACCAGGAGAGAGGAAATTAGGATCTATGGTTTTAGCAGCTTCGTTACACTCTTCCAGTTCTTGGTACATGGTGAGGTGCGACCAAAGAGCACTTTTGCCTTGTTTATTTTGCAATCCGTGGCTCCAAACTCGTTCCAAAAGATCACAAAGACTAGCAACCAAAGTATTCTCCTCTACATCGAACAACGACTCTCCTCCATGACCTAATGCGACAGCTTCAGAACCCATTTTCTCAACTAACATTCTTTTTGTCTTCGATTTACAATCCTTTATCAAGAAATATGCGTGCATTTAAAATTCTATAGAAAATTTGATAGCATAACCGTTTGTTTTTCTAAATACCTTGAGCAATTTTTCAACGAAAGTCCAATTTGCTTGCGCTATCAGTGCTGGACTTATGTCTGCAGAGAACTTAGTCTGTGGCCTTGGTGACTGCGTCTCTTGCGGGGCAGGTGGTTTGCCATTTGCTTCCATGGATTTCATTTTATACTTCCATTGAGTCTGTCCCCTCCGACTGCTATTATGAGGATAAATGAATTAATAATTTGCAAAATACAATTAATGACTAGCTCTACAAATTACTTGAAGAATAACTGAAAAATGGAAAGATGTAAATAAAACTTTGAGTCAATAGTTTCCTGGATTAAGGTTTAACATAATATGGTACTAAAACGTCCATGCACAATGATATGCAAGTTCTTACCGAAGTATGCTACGCATGAAGCAGGGAATAAGACAGTAAACGTTAGTATGTCATTTTTGTGTTTGTACATTGGATATAAGTTTTGGATATAATGTGTACCTTTGAGCTGGTTCCTTATTCAACGCAACACTGTCTAATAGAGGAAAACTTCGGAAATACGCTGCTCTGTGAGGAAGAATTTCGGTCGGTGGGTTTGTTTCGAAGTCCACATTCGTCAACCTCTGCTCCAACACCTTCTGTGATTCTTCTACGCTCTTGCAGGGTTCGTAACGTGTTGATCTAACGATGGCCTCCCCAACCTTTTTCCTGCAGCAATAAATGTAAGTTCGAGAAATTATCCTACATTGTTTTAAAAAACAAATATGATTGCACCAACCTTAGGAGAGAAATTCTTTGATCAAAGACTCGTATGTTGAAATCAAGTTCGCTCCACGTTGACATAACTTTACTGTCTACCAGCGACGCGAACATTTGCGTCTCTAGAAATCTAGACAGGAATGGTAAATGTTGTGTGGGCTGGTCAGATAAAAATGTGGCCTTATCAAAAACGTGCATACTGTCTCTATTATTCAACCATTCGTCTTTGTCCTGCAAAGCAAAAGTATGTTTCATGTAATCTTGTAATGTAATTACATTAATGAATCATATACACTGGGTGTCCTTTTCCAAATCAGTTCCTTACAATGAAATACGGTTCGAATTAATGAAAACTTTTGTCTTGTGCATAGAAAAATATATGATTACGTTAAAAGAAACACAGTAGACTGACTTAAACAAAACACCGTGTAATATGCCGATCCATACCTGGCTTGGTTGGATAACAAAATGTTCATAACTAGAAAAAATCTGTACAAAACGATTCAAAAAGATTTCCCTAATGGCATTATTAAACATAAGCGTCTCTTGATACTCCTCTTGCGGTGTTAGTACCCTCTCTTTCACATTGTCTTCAATCGATTCAATATCATCCACGTTCACTCCTATTAGAAAAGTGAACAATATGGATTATGTAATCAGATCATTCAAATTCAATTTAGCTGCATAATTACCTGTTCGCTTAACAATATCGACTATTTTCTGTAAAGTATCAGATTGTGGTGTTGGCTCAGGTTTATCCCAATCGAGGACATCATGTAACGAGTGTTTTCTACGAGGAAGATGGAACCCAGAACCAGGAAGCGTCAAACTACTAGTCATGATGTCGCCATTGTGATGATTCATGGCCATGTTGTCAGTCCTGCAAGACATTCGGAGTTTTACAACCATAATCAATTAGATTGACGACAGTGTAAGTGATCATTGACTTACTTTCCTGAGTATGGTACTTTGTACTTGTTTAGAAGAGCTCTAATCTCGGCAATGAATTGCATTTTGTGGGGAAATACAGGTAGTTCCTCCGGGAATTGGCTACTTTGTTTATCTATATCTACATAACAAAGGTTTGCCTGCAAATGAAAGGCAGAGTGTTAAGCAATCTTCAAATATAAATTCGTATTTAGGACTAAAAAATAACGAACATCCAAGTATGTGGGCGCAGTATAATGAAGAGTACAATGGATTCTAATTGGTGTGCCTAAACTCCTACGTCCAGAGGACTAACATTTAACGAATTGCTTGAAAATCCAGCACTCACTTCGCTAGCAATTTTCAGCACACCGCCCTCGTTCTGAATGTGCAAACCCATTATGAACGGCACCGGCGCGTCCAAGAAATGATGCAAACTGGCGGGTAAGATGGGCACATAGACATGCTGCCAGGAAAATGGGAACAGGAGCGCCGTTATACACTCGGATACCACCATCAGCTTGTGGAAGTCCGAGCTCCTAAGCAACACTTGGTTCTCCAATAGGACACAGGTGAACAATTGGATGACACAGTCCGCGCCGAGCCACGTGAATACGTCCTTTAAAGGATAATCCAGCATCGGTAGCTCCTGCAATGGTGTCGGCTGATGTATCACCAGTTCCAATGGTGGTTTCGCTGGCTCGTCGTTTGGAACGAAGAATTTAAGCGACTTCCCTGACAATGGTACGGGCACATTGTAAAGGAGATTGTACACGTAGGACTCTAAGCTAAGACCGGGTCCTGGGTGTCTAGGAACACATCTGAAAATGGACATTTATAATGTTAGCAGGTTTGGTATTATTCAACTAACGTATTTGGAAAATGGAGAGTAAAATAATGTAGTGTTATACTTCTGGGTGGATGTTAGATTAGTTTATTAGATTTTTAGATTCACTGGATAACTAAATTCTCTATTAGGTATCTAAGAACTCATCTGAAAACGGATATTCATGGTGTTCAAATATGCCAGGTTTTTGTGTTATTTAACTAATGTATTTGGGAAATGGAGAGTGGTATTATTTTGCTTGTTACTTAGATTATTTTATTAGATCTCACTAAATTTGCTGGATGACTAGATTCTCTGGTAGAATCTTAATTGGGAATTAAACTAAAACAGGAATAGAAATTAAATCATTTGAAATATTAACAGCTTTCTGTTCTGACGAGTATTTTAAAAGAATTTAAGTAATTTATAATCTATGAAATAGATTATTTCTCAAGCACTTTTGCTCAGCGTTAAGAACTACCGATGCCTATCTGACGAGTATATATATTTTAAAAGAATTTAAGTAATTTATAATTTATGAAATAGATTATTTCTCAAGCACTTTTGCTCAGCGGTAAGATCTACCGATGCCTATTAGTACGTGTTTTAATGACCATGCTACATCTAAAGGAAACCTAATGATTTTCTTCCACAAAAGATAAATGATTAAAAAATATTGTGAAAAATAATGAGTTAATATATTCTGGTTGAGCAGAAACTAATTACATACTAATTTACACGAGTACCGTCTCCCTTTTTCTCTGAAAAATATTAAGGTAACTATGAGATATAGCAAGAACAAGGAAACAAACCGAGGCTCGGAGACTTTAAAAAAGGAAATTTAATATGGCCGGTTAGCCCCCGCGATTAATCTTGAAATCCCTCCAGGAACAAAACCCTTCTGGAAAATCCTTCCTACTTTCTGAAACCTGAGAACGTCGACGCGACGCCACGACGTTATGATGAGGATCCCGGGGCTTACTTACTTGTAGAGATTAGTAAGGAACGTTTTCGCCGCGTGAAGGTAAGGCTGCTGGCATAGCAAGGATATCGATTTAGTCACTAGCAACTTGTCTTTGGTAGAGTCATAGTAGCCTAACGCTGCGCTCGGCGAGTGCGCTGATAGCTTGAAGTGCCGTGGCAGCGAGCGGGTGTTGTGACCGTCCTGCCCTTTTCTTACCCTGCGAAACAAAGTTTGTCAAAGATACTACCTTATGCTGGTTCAATATTTAAGCCAGAAGTATGTCCGACACGAGAACATCTCTAACGAAAAAACACAATTTGTCTTTTTGTTAGCTAAATTTGTAGGATACGTAAAAATATTTATTTTGCGGAGTCAATTATCGAGGTGCAGACAATTTCTCGAGATCATTTGAAGGTTGATACATTACACATAGTTACAATTTGTAATTTTATTAACTAGTATTTTTTCGATACTGTGAAATGTTTGCTTCAGAGGGACGATTATCTAGATGGGCATACTTCTTCAAGATTGTTTGAAGATCAATATAATTATTATTTGTCTTTTGTAGTAGCTGAAACGTTACGAGAAAATATTTGCTACAAATAGATAATTATCGAGGTAGACATACTTTCTGAAGGTCATTTAAAGGACAACGTATTATACTCGATAAGAATTTGCTGTTTCATTAGCTGAACCTTCATTGTTTGAGGAAATATTTGCTACGAGGAGTCAATTATTTAGATGGACATATTTCCTCAAGATCATTTGAAGGTCAACGTATAATATAAGGTTACAATTTGTCCTTTAGTTAGCTAAACCTTTACGATACGAGGAAATGCATGTTTCGAAGAGGAAATTATCAAAATGAGCATAATTTCTCAAAGTCATTTGAAGGTCAACGTATAAAAATACAAAATCCTTTTTAAAATAAACGCCACCTTGAAAAACTGTGTACTTCAGTACTTTCTATTCGTTTTTCTATTGGCTTTAATTGGTCCCGTATAGATTGAGTTTAGGATTGAAAGTACTCATTTAAAAAATATTCTTTTCCTTTGAAGTGAGAGAGGACCTATTAAAGCTCTAAAATTCAAAATATTAATCCTTTCGTATGACTCCACGAACCGGTATGACATTATAAAGAAAAAATCTACAAATCGAAACTAAAATAAATTATTTTTATTATTCCCTTTTATTTACAGAATATCAAATCCAAAATGCGCAATACAATTTTAACATGCCAACGCGAACTGCGACTGCGGCCGGACTGAAAGTTTCAACGATTTTTCACAGATTTCCAATGATCTGCTAACAAAATGTTTCCAACAAATGACGGTCAGTATCAATTCTTTTACAAATTTTAATATACAATAATGTTTCGGATAGAAAATTTTTCTTATAAATAATTGAAATCATTTCGCTTTTCTTAATATCAATATCAATTTTTGAATTCATAACATTATAGCTGGTGTCGAAACGAATTCGGTGACCTACTATGCTATGACCTTAAACCTTGTGATGACGTTAAAATAATTTTTGGACACGATAAATGGCTTGGCTTTCCAGCTTACTGTGCGACCTCGAAGTATGTACAAGGGCAGAAAACTGCGTAAGGAAAACTCACGTCGGCGGTGTACCGTTTTGGCCGCTGCTCAGTTCCGTGATATGCATCGCTTGCAGGGTTTGCATAGCGGCGCATATTTTCCGGTTCCGGCACTCCTCGTAGAAAACAAGGCTGAACCCGTAGGTTCGGTGCCCGTCCTCCTTGGTGAGCACGAACGAGTGGAACATCGGCTCCACGGAGTGCTTCTGGGTTCGGAATCTCAGGCCGCTCGGCAGGCAAAGCTGAAAGATTGAATATCTGATGAGATACGTTCCGCGCGGCGGCTTTTCATTTGCACCGGCACACCCGGCGATTCTTTTCACAAACGGCAACTGGGACAACTTGCGCTCGTTTCGCAATACCGTTGATCGCCGGGACCATCCCTTGCTCTGTACTTTTTATTCCACAGCAAAGCATGGAGAGAACGCGAGCTAGAAAGCTCCGAGACCTAGTTACATCGGGCTGCGAGACCGTGATGATGCCGCACAATCGCGGGATCTCACTTTGCCGACTACATTCTGCGAAAATTCAGATTACGCTGCCGGTCGGTGCATCGCTGTTTCGCGAACCAATCGATCCGCTTTGGACCTTTACGCTGCTTCGCGGAGCCTGCTGCCAGAAAGTGTTTTGCACACTGTGAACGCTTTAGCTCCTGTCACCGTCTCTCAATTGGAATATTCAGTATAAATATTGGGTTACTGTCAAAGAAGTTGCGGTTTTCTCATTTGTTGTGGTTGCAGCCTTTCCACGACAGGCGGTCTCGATTTATGTTTATCATACTTTTCGCAGAAGGTGAATGTTGCTTTTAGTGCTTTCCATGCTTCGCATTTAATGTCTCATCATGAGTCACGTTTTCACAGAGCAAGGCACAGTGGTCTGGGAAACAAAAAATTTAGGTTAAACAACAATCTCATGCAACTCTGTGACTTGAGACAGTGTTGTAAAGGTAGAAAAAGGAAATTAAGATTAAAACTAATTGTTTGAATTGTACTCGTTATAAAATATCAAAATGTAAGTTCTTGTTATACTTTTATGCATATTAAGCACTTATACTTCAACTGTTTCTGCGTGACAAAATCATTTTTTTAGTCCATATAGAAAGAATGTAACAATTGATAACAAGATTAATAGAAGAACGTTTAAAAATATTTGATGTAGGACTATTTTTATAAGAAAGCTTGGACTGTTATTACATGGGGCGCGTAAATTTCAAGTACAGTTTATAGTGGTTCTTAATTGAGCCGTTTATTTTGAAAGTGGCATAAGTCACTTTACCGTAATGGAAAGTGGTGATTTTTTAATGTTTATACGAAATTATTTATACTGAGAAAAATATCAGTATCCTGAGATAACAAATACAAGTAAATCTTCTCGAAAGTTAGCATCCATATTTTTAAACGTGTTAAAACGCGAACCCTTAAATATATCGACTTAAAAACAAAGTGACTTATGCCACTTTCAAAATAAACGGCTCAATTATATGTTTCGGGTTCGTATCGCTGCGCACTGAACGCTCGTATACAATTTCAAAAGAAATGATTTTTCAAACATTTCCGATGAACCGGCCAAACAATGTTTCCAACAAAAGTTGGTTTTTACATATTAGAATATGAAGACGTCAGAAAAAGAATTTTTTTAGAAAAAATACTGGTCACCTCGATTTTTTAAACGTTAATACATACGTATGTTTGACCTGATAATATTCTATCTCGTATCGAGACAAATCCAACGGCCAACTATTCTATAAACTTAAACCCGAAACAACGCTAAAATAATTAAAGCCACAGAAAGCGAATTCCAAAACCATTGTGCAATGAAATTGGTGTACAGTAATGGGACCTACTTCTGCACGCTTTTCTTACTCCCTAAGTCGGCGCGCAAATCCCCCACCATTTTAGTGCGCATCCAATCCGTAATGAACCCTATCTCAGCATTGAATCGTCAGCCAATCAGAGCAACGAAAATTTCTATATCGACCCTCGCTAACGGATCAAGCTGTGGCCTGGAAATGTGCAGGCGTAGGTCCCATTACTGTAGTTTTCTATGAGTTTTTGTTTTGAAAGTTAAAATCGGTAAAACTGAAACTCAGAGGAATTCTTTTTCTTTTCTTTTCTGTTTTATTCTGTTGAATAAACTCTATGTAGCCCAAACAAAGATACTATGATAATAAATTCTAAAGGATAAATGTAGCCCTTAATGCTTTATCGTGTTCACACAGACACACAATAAGATATGATATAACTTTATTAATATAATATAACTTTTTTAAAACTAGACTAAATGACTTGGATTTTTTAAAGATGTTGGAGGGGCTAGTTTATTACAGTAAAATGGTATACAATGATTAAAATACTATTTTTTAATTTTGCTATTACTTAGGATACAAAAAAACGTTTTTCAACTCGATCGCGAACATTGCACCTTTTTCGTGATTCTGATCACTTTCGACCAACAACTGTAAGAAATCTGCAGATTTATCTATACTTCAGTGCCCGTATCTTCACTGTATGTCAACTGATTTCGATAAAATTTTCAACAAGCATGTAAGTTACAGAGACCTACAAAACGCATTTCTTCAATTACTATTATGAGCTAAAACGTTAGTTTTTTTATCTTCCTTTGTTATTTCAAGTAATAGCAGAATTAAAAAATAGTTGAAATAGTTATACATATAGTCCGGTGAAATAGAATAGTCCGGTTTTAAAAAATGTATACCATTTTAAGAGCATACTTTTTGGAGTCACTGTATCTCTGTACTTAATTGAATGATATTAGATCACAAAATGTCTAGCGTTAGAACTCNATAGAAAGAATGTAACAATTGATAACAAGATTAATAGAAGAACGTTTAAAAATATTTGATGTAGGACTATTTTTATAAGAAAGCTTGGACTGTTATTACATGGGGCGCGTAAATTTCAAGTACAGTTTATAGTGGTTCTTAATTGAGCCGTTTATTTTGAAAGTGGCATAAGTCACTTTACCGTAATGGAAAGTGGTGATTTTTTAATGTTTATACGAAATTATTTATACTGAGAAAAATATCAGTATCCTGAGATAACAAATACAAGTAAATCTTCTCGAAAGTTAGCATCCATATTTTTAAACGTGTTAAAACGCGAACCCTTAAATATATCGACTTAAAAACAAAGTGACTTATGCCACTTTCAAAATAAACGGCTCAATTATATGTTTCGGGTTCGTATCGCTGCGCACTGAACGCTCGTATACAATTTCAAAAGAAATGATTTTTCAAACATTTCCGATGAACCGGCCAAACAATGTTTCCAACAAAAGTTGGTTTTTACATATTAGAATATGAAGACGTCAGAAAAAGAATTTTTTTAGAAAAAATACTGGTCACCTCGATTTTTTAAACGTTAATACATACGTATGTTTGACCTGATAATATTCTATCTCGTATCGAGACAAATCCAACGGCCAACTATTCTATAAACTTAAACCCGAAACAACGCTAAAATAATTAAAGCCACAGAAAGCGAATTCCAAAACCATTGTGCAATGAAATTGGTGTACAGTAATGGGACCTACTTCTGCACGCTTTTCTTACTCCCTAAGTCGGCGCGCAAATCCCCCACCATTTTAGTGCGCATCCAATCCGTAATGAACCCTATCTCAGCATTGAATCGTCAGCCAATCAGAGCAACGAAAATTTCTATATCGACCCTCGCTAACGGATCAAGCTGTGGCCTGGAAATGTGCAGGCGTAGGTCCCATTACTGTAGTTTTCTATGAGTTTTTGTTTTGAAAGTTAAAATCGGTAAAACTGAAACTCAGAGGAATTCTTTTTCTTTTCTTTTCTGTTTTATTCTGTTGAATAAACTCTATGTAGCCCAAACAAAGATACTATGATAATAAATTCTAAAGGATAAATGTAGCCCTTAATGCTTTATCGTGTTCACACAGACACACAATAAGATATGATATAACTTTATTAATATAATATAACTTTTTTAAAACTAGACTAAATGACTTGGATTTTTTAAAGATGTTGGAGGGGCTAGTTTATTACAGTAAAATGGTATACAATGATTAAAATACTATTTTTTAATTTTGCTATTACTTAGGATACAAAAAAACGTTTTTCAACTCGATCGCGAACATTGCACCTTTTTCGTGATTCTGATCACTTTCGACCAACAACTGTAAGAAATCTGCAGATTTATCTATACTTCAGTGCCCGTATCTTCACTGTATGTCAACTGATTTCGATAAAATTTTCAACAAGCATGTAAGTTACAGAGACCTACAAAACGCATTTCTTCAATTACTATTATGAGCTAAAACGTTAGTTTTTTTATCTTCCTTTGTTATTTCAAGTAATAGCAGAATTAAAAAATAGTTGAAATAGTTATACATATAGTCCGGTGAAATAGAATAGTCCGGTTTTAAAAAATGTATACCATTTTAAGAGCATACTTTTTGGAGTCACTGTATCTCTGTACTTAATTGAATGATATTAGATCACAAAATGTCTAGCGTTAGAACTCGAAATTAATAGAAATGAAATGAATACCATGCAAACAGCATGCTCGTCGAAGAGGTTCCATGGTACAGAGTCCGGATGGTGTCCAAGCACTTTACTCTTATACGCCCGATCCAGAGGTGTGCATTGCAACGAGTCCCCTGAAACAGAAATCATATCATGCTTCGTTAAATTAGAGTTAACTCGAATGGATTTAGCTGTGATTCCATTACGAATAGTTGGTTCTGCGATTAAAATTCATTTTTATTCACCGCTGGTACGTCTCAGTCATAATCCTTCGTAAACATTTTAATAGAAATGCGCAGGAAGATTCCATGCAACTGAAACTTCATTCAGAAACAGCAATCGTGAGAGCAAGAGAATATTCGCTACAGTAATTGCTTAATTTACAGCTTGATTCACTCGTTAGGAAGAATTCCACAAAATATCCTGCAATTTTCGTCTGTTTTCGTTTTACTTAGGCTTGGCAATTGTGTTCTTATATATATTTTAAACGAATACACCGAATTGTAGCAATGGTAGAGAAAGTGGTAGAGTGTTTTCGAAACAGAACATGACAGAACCTAAAGTAAACGATATTTCACTATGAAGGATAATTTTTTAATTAAATAATTGTACGTTAAGAAGGTTTCAGATTATTGTTTATAAGTTTCTTTTAATTTTCTGTGTACAGAAATACACATCCGAAGTATAAGAATCGTAGATTAATAAAGTAGATAATATTTTACTGTGTATAATAATTTCCACGCTAAATAATTGCAGGTGAAAATGGTTGTGCGGATTATTATAATTATAAATTAAAATAAACGTATATAACACCGAATTATGTAATACAATGTTAAAGAAATAAAGAATTTTATGGTCTCGGAATGAGAACACGACAGAACCGAACATAAATAATTAGATTGCGGATTTTTATACAAAATAAAAATTGTCTGCGTTAATTGTAAGACACAGTGACTCTTTTTCTAATAATTTTTCTGAATTAAGTATAATAATACAAGAAAATTCTTAAACTCTTCAAATACTTGTCGTGTTTTGCATTCGATCTAAACATTTTTCTCCTAAATACATAAAATCCGCAGTCTATAAATAATATTTCACTCTGAAGAATAATTTGTGCATTAAATAATTGCATCTATAAATTTGTTATGATCGCATACTCGACTAAATTGCAATTAATGGGACACGTTGTCCAACGATCTTCACAGTAGACTCTTCGGAGAAATTATACTAACAAACAAGTTCTCATTTTAAGAATAAACGTTGTGACTTCTCGATCAAACATTTAAGCATGCGTATTATGTATGTACATATGCTCTTCAACGCATATCTTTGTCTTTTGCATTCGTCGTCGTGATTTATTTCACGATCGAATAAGATAGGTCTCATAAATGTTTCAAGCCGTTTAAGCATGTGCGATCCGAATCAAACGTTCGGTTCAAAATTACATTCCAAGGTACGGGAACGAATTTTCATGAAATATACAGTTCTCATGATTTCATAATTCGTTCTCCGTTACTCGACTAACGGGTGCACTGAAGTCGAATCGAAGGCAGTCGTCTTCGTATGCGTGGGCGCACTCGTTTTCCATTTCTCATGTACACTGCACCTACTTCGCATACCGCAATAATCATTTCTCTGCATCGAACTCGAAGATGTGCACAGCGATACAGCATTCTTTCAGAATTTTTCACTTGAAAAATAGTTTCGATTTCACTTCTTCGATTTACAGCACTTAAGTTAAATATTTGATAGAAGAAAACCATCGATAGAAAATTAATTTTTAATCGCATGAAGAGCAGTCACCATTAAATTAAATACATATAATTACTTTATATAATTACTTTTATTATATTATTATTATTATATTATTATATTATTACTTTATATAATTACTTTACTATTTATTAATTAATGGTTATAAACGACTAGAGTCTTTTTACTACCAATAACCATTACAAATAACGGAAACAGTTTTTGGTTACAAATAACCACTGTAAATGACGAAAATTGTTCTTTTATTATAAACAACAATTATCGATGTCAAGAATGTTAATTCTGTTACAGATAACCGTCATTATTAACGGGAACCGTTTTGGGGCATGAACAACCATTACGGATAACCAGAATTATGTATTGGTTATTTGATGGCGGACATTTTCATTTAAACAAAAAAGTGTTATCATTTTAATAAGGTCTTCTTAACAAGCATAAAAAGCTATTTCCCGTTTCGGTTATAACAATTATGGCCTCTGATTTATAAATTTTGGCGCATTCCAGAAGTTGGAAATAGAAGACGATATCAAAATTGGTTCATTGAAAAAATTCGTTACATGTAAATTAATGAGTAGAAAATTATTTTCACGCGTCACGAAATGGCGGCGCCGTGAGTTGAACCACGTCATTTTGCAATTCACCTAAAACTTTTTTGATAATCGTGTTAATTTTCTTTAAAAAAAGTGGAAGACAGTATAAAAATTTTCGAGTAAATTTCCGAAAGAAACCTGTCGCCGATCAAAACGGAGTTTGGAGGGTGGAAGGAAGGGACCCTAAATATAAAATATTATATATTAATTTTTTATTTGGTAGCATCATCATTTATCTTATATGATACCAAATGTCATCTTAATCGGCGACAGGTCTCTTTCAGAAGTTCACCCGTAAAAAGAATTGTCTGCTTCGTGAAACAGCAGCGCTAAGATTCGCAATTCACTCTTTCTTACAATAAATATTATTAGTGAAAAACGTTTTTATTTTTTTTTTAATACAAAATGGCATTAAGATATGTCTATTGGGATCTTATAACGCGTACATTGGAGAATACTAAAATATTTTTTCGTTTCACAAAATGGCGGCGTCAAAGATTGCACTACACTGAAAGCTGGCCTAAGCCGCAAAGAATAAACAATTTTACACAAAATAACCTTTAAAAAGAACACCTCAAGCTTCACCCGACTCGATAATGCATTCCAGCCTTCAATTTCCTCAAAAAAGGAAAGAAAAGAAAAATAACAAAGCTAAGTAATCAAAGTCTATTTCCACCCAAGGTGATCTCTAGGATGAATCTCTTCAGAGCTGCAGAAAAAAACAAGCTCAGAGTCGTCTCATTGTCAGTGACATTGAGCTTGAGATATCTCAAGATGCAATGCCACAGTTCTCACACTCTGATTAAGTTATCTCAGCATGATTAAATGTTTACGCTGCTTAGAACGATGACTCATTTCAGGATTAAATCGTCCCGGAGCAGCGCCAATTCCAGAGCAGCTGGACATTTACCAGGGCAACTTGAACTTTCGGGAAACTTCGCATTCGAATTCTCTCGAAACCAATGAAAATTTCAACGTATACGAGTCCCAACGTCAGAGACCCGAAGAAAATGTAAAGTTAGGAAGTTACATCATGGCCACAACAGTGATAACAGTGCCACAGTGTATCGCGTAATGTATAAAACTCAAATACCTGAAATGTTTAACTCTCAAAATCTTGTATCGTAAAGTAGCCACAATTTTTGTTAAATTTACTAATTTGTTGCCAAAGTTAGTATTAAAAATGTGTCCCCAAACGATACATTTTTTTCAAACTATCACCACTGACGGAATGTTTAGGCTTTTAAACAGATCTTTACAGATTACATTTAGTACCTTAATGCACCTTCAAAATTGCCAAGTCGTTTTTTAAGACTATTGACAATCTCCATTAATTTGTTCAGATAAATGTGTACCAACTTAGATTAGACCTTATAGAAAATTACCAAAAATTCCTTTCTTGATTTTTGGTACGTTAGTGTTTACTTATACTATATTATATTATATTTAAACTTTTTTTATATTGACGTCAATATTAGCTGTCCAATTTGTCTGAAATAAAGAAAATTATAAAATTCGTAATTAAGTGCACGGTTCAGTTAAATGCACGGTCAACGGTTCAGCGTAGTTCAACTTATTTTATCTTCTTACTTATTAGTTAAAAATAGTTTGTACAGTCAGTGTACAAAATATTCGTATATCTCTTAGAATGAAAAAAACTTTTTATAATTGGGTCAAGCGATCTAAGTTTTTCGGGGACGTTAGAGGGACAATGGTTAAAAACTTGTTTGAAAAAATTGCAATTGGTTGGAATGATGGAACAATTAAAAAATGATGTTTTTTCAAGTTTTTTTACCTGAACCTATAACAAAAATTTAAAAACTGTATCTTGTAGAAGTAAAACGATAGCCACTAAAAGATGTAAAAATATTTTAAAAAAGCCAATTTCCAAATTCAATTTTCTCGAAAACTAGGTCACAGACAAATAATAGTTATTCCATACTTTTTCATCTTTTTTTTATAAGGAATCGCCTGGTGCCCGCTTGTACATACCTTCCAGGGACAGCCTGTATATTAACACGTTGATAAAGTCAAATCTATATTGAAAGATCATTAAAGTTAAATGTTAAAACTTATGTTAAAATGACAATAAAGGAACGTAGCTTTTGTATATATCTATAGTGTTTTTTTTTTAAATGCACAATGTTATGCAATGTTACACATGGCATTTTAGCTTGCAACACACTACATGCTTACAACAACGTTGATCAAGTAATGTTTCGAAAACGTTAATTTTATAAATTATTAAAATCAGCGTAATTGTTTTAAACAAACTTGTATATTTTTTACGTGCCAGTCGATGTACCTTTGCATTCTTTATGAAAAAGCATTAGGGGCAACTTAGATTGAAAATGAATAGATTTAGAAGTTATGAGTTTTATCCCGTGTGCCCGTATACGCGGCACACTGTGCAATGAGCGCATTGTTCTTGGCACGACGTTGCTTAAGTGCAACTTGGAGCCTCGCAGAAGGCAGCTACACATGCGAGGGAACGAAGGATGGTCGGTCGTCTTCCACCCTTTCGTCGGAAAAATTAGAATCTCTCAACGGCAACGTCGGCAACTTGTTATTGAACGTGGTACATATCCTCGGGCAGCTCGACCTGAATGAGACTGTTGAAGTCTTGGCGACGTTCCAGCTGCCTCGTCCACGGCGGACACAAGAGCACCCTTGTACAGGGTTAATCGTTCATGATCGAACAGCCACCAAAGAAAACGCTGAAACGTTAGCCGACACGGACACGGACGCGACCGCTGAAAATTTCATCGAGC